GAGACTCTGAAGCATAATTTCAGCTTTACTTTCCACCTTGGGAAATTAACAGCGAGCTGCTTGGCACTGAACAATGGCATTGGATGTTGGCGCTATTCCTGGGGATACTAGGTCAGATCGTATGGAACTGGAAAGCAGAGAGGCCTAAAATCACAATGCATTACATGCTGGAAAATTTAAATGCACTTGGTTATTCCCTGGCCACACAAAAATGGACATCTGTCTGACTCGAACACCACAAGAGACAGAGACAGCAGCAGCTGGCTTGCTCAGAGAACAAAACCAAAGACTTTTGTTGTGTCTCAAATCGAATACTTCAGTCTGTACACTCTCATGTAGTAAACTGTGTGGCTACTCACCGGCGTAGTGCGTGAATATCAACAGGTTAGTATTGTCCCAACAGGTAACCATGATTGTCGCCCACCTGCCGGCTGCTTTGCTCACTTCACTTCAAAATTAACGTTTTACTCCTCTGTATGTGCCCCGTGTGTCATGTGACATGGAAATTTGGCCGCCATCAGCGACGATGACGTGTGTTCCTTCTCAGGCCGCCATTTTCACAAGTTTGAAAAAACGCTAGAGGTCCCTCCCTTTCCGTTACATATCCAAGATGGCGGCTGTTGAGGGTTTTACACTAATTTTTTAAAAAACATTTTAAAAAACATTTTGAGTGTACCATCCGGTACTTATAGTGCACTACATGTCAATGTGAACACACTTCTGCACTCAAAATAGCAAGTGTCAGTATGGAAGCAGCTACACGAATTGAGACACATCATATGTAATGTTCTACTCATGGAGCATCAAAGTTGTTCGGAGCAGGGGTACAAATGAAAATACAAACAGGTAAACAGGTCAGAGGTCAAGACATGAATGGCATTGTCCAACCTTGCTCCTCCTAATTCTGCCTAGCAACAACAAACTGCTGCCCTCTTTCTCTTTCTGCTCTACACCCTTCCCAGGCCTAGGACATGGTAACACATGTCAGCGTGGCTATTTAAGAAATGACCCTAAAAAACTATGACCAAAGTCATTGTCTGATTCTCTGTAGGTCAAAGATATTATTTCAGTAACTGATAAATAGGTCTGTGGGGAGTATCAATTCTAGAGGTTCAGCTTTGCTGTTTCTGTAGCTGCATCACGGTTATGTTGAGAATGACAGCTGCACATTGCGACATGCAGCACAGTTTGGATTATGTGCATCTGAACAGCAGCAATTCACAGCAAACATTTTCTCATTCTGGATCTTGCCATATGCCCCAAGAGGGATTTGCTGTTTTTGTTGTATGAACAGTACCTGGTGTTCAGTATGAATATTGTGTAATGTCTTTGTTATCTATGTAGGCCTAAAGATTTCCAAATGAAAGTTGTAAACAAAATATTCCTTCTGTGATAAAATAAACAAAAGGCTTGTCAATTATCAGTAATATGTTCTAATATTAATGATCCTGATCTCAAGGTCTGGCTTGAAGTCTTGCTGTACTTGCTGTTCAGATAAGGCTCCCCTGTTATGCAGCTGACAGTAAAAGTCTTGATCTTCCTGGGTTGTGCCTTTATCCATTTTCTAAATACTGGCATATAAATTGGTTTTAATTTGTTTTTATTTCTTGAAAGTTGAGTTAGTCATACAGGAGAGCAACTTACTGGCTTTATGAGTCAACTTCTGTTTGACTTGTTGTAAGCACTTTGTCAAGGGCGTAGCTTTGATCTTGACACTGGTACGGTCTGCAGGGGATGCCCCTGTAAACTGAAGCTTTTTGCATTAATGATAGACTTCTGACCACAATTTCCATCTCATGAAACCTTATTAAAGCCATGTATGATTCAGTGCTTAACAGGCCTCTTAGTAGACTAGTGCCACCTCAATGTAATACAAAACAGATATTTAGATTTACTCTTATAATCACGTTGTTACAAGTCGAGGCCTCACCTGCGACCCTGCCTCTTTTTCTCTGTCTGAACTACTACCTGGCAGGACTGTCACCTCATAAGATAACACATTGATGCATGACAAATGAACAGTGAGGAAAAACCATTATGGCTTATTATTTTATTTGAAATGTAATGTTTGTCTTTTATCAAACACGTGCACAGTAAAGAGAAAGGAAGAGATAAATAAAGGAATCATACTGTATCTGGAAAAGGATGTGGTCCAGATTTTAACAACAAGGGAACACAGCAGGTACTTGGTACGTCCATGAACCATCTGATCCACCGACCTGACCAAATCTTAACTATATTTGTTTGTTAGTGCATTTGTATATCAGAGAACAAAAAGGAATATTTGATAAGATTAGATTGGATTAATTGAGATTATAATTATGACAGTTGGAAAACTGAGTCATAGCACGCACAAAACAACTGCATACAGATAAGAATAGAAAAAAAGCAGAGCACTCAAGAAAGTAGAGCCAATGTAAAACAAATATGTAGTTATTTTTTATTTGACCTGCACAATAATTCTGATTCCATGCCAGATTCCTCTTGATGCTGAGAATTGTTCGATATCTGCCAGCAATTTACAGTAAGTATGTGCCTAGTAAAAGGAAGTAATTCCACTTCTGACTTATTGTATTATTGTGCACAGGTTTTCCAGGGAAGATTATCATCAAATCTTAGATTACATACAAACCTATTTTATCAAAAATCCCACCAAAGAAAAACCTTTTCTTTTATCGCAGACCACTGTACGATAAACTTTCTTCTCTCCTGCACCAGATCGAAGATCCCTTTAATCACCGGTTTCAGTCACTGACTGCACAATAATTTCCTGTCTGCGCTCAGCTTTTGAGAAGAGCCAGCTTTATAGGAAAACCGTGACAAGATTTCATCCATGCAAGGAGACAACAGAGAGTGGAATCAATCCTATTGGCTTCACATAATGCGAGTAGCAGCCTTACTGGTGTGAAACCCATAGATGCCCAGCACATGCTGAGCAAGATGAAACCTCCAGGAGATTTCTTCAGACAGCCAATACACATGTTTACACAGAATAAACTTAAATGTAAGCCACCTGACTGTGGGTGCCCATACAAAGCAGTCAGAACCTGCAGTTTTCATCTTGGTGATTTCAGACAGTCTGCTAATGCACCACCACTACCTCAAAATAAAATCCAATATTAACAGTAATACAATCAATTCGGCTAATTTTAGTTATACAAGGTTTGTATCCGGCAACAAATACATAACACAATAAGAGTAGTTCAGCTGGTGTGACTACAGTATCAGCATTGGGACTAACCACCTCGAAATAACGGTCAATAAGGGTTGTTTTTTCTGTTCTTTCCACCCTGCCAACATTTTGTGAATACAGTTCCAGCACGTCTAACGTCTCCAGTTCACTTCATTTGGTTTATTGTGTTTATGTTTCATGTTTTTGGGTTTTATGCTACAAAACAAAACCATTCTGTGGGATAGTAAATCTGAACTGATCTGAATTTATTGTTAAATTGCCTGAATGTGATAAAACAGTGAGTCTCATGTTAATTTCGGTGTCATACAGTGGAAAAGTACATCATCTTATTAGTTGGGCTCGTCACAAGAAGGTCGCCAGCTAGACTGTCGCAATAAATCTGTTTTGGGAAAAGAAAATAGCAGTGCTTACCCCTCTCTCACCTCACCTGCTGAGGTGAGCAAAGCTCAGTGGGTTAAAAGGCGGTGCTAAACGCAGCAGCTGCCAGGTGTGAATATGTGTAACTGTGTGAAAGGAGCAGGGCGTTCCTGAAAATGAGAGTTTTGCTCTCAGTGAAACTTCCCTGAGTAAATAGGTAAAGAAAAATGAAATTGTTCAGCTTGCAGACTGATTCCTGTAGTTGAAACTAGTGTGATTGGAAAATTGCTGTCATGTCAATGTCATTATGGACGTTTTCATTTCCATTTTTTTTTGTACACAGGAAACTTCATGGCACCTCTGGAGTCATAAGTGGGTCAGTGCCTTGCTCAAAGACACGTCCTCAGTACTTGTGTCTCCTGCCGGGAAAGTTTCACTGAACTGCCATAATATTGACCCAGTTCATTAAATCTCTCTCTGCATACACCCTTCTTTTGTTATCTCAAGTGTATCTGAGGAGCAAACGCACGTGTACAGCTCATTTTTTCAGACTGTGCTGTTTGTTGCAATATGATGTCTGATAAAAACAATAATTACATTCATGCAGCACCAAAGAGACTGTACAGCTCCCTGTGGAAAATCAATATTTGTCATTCTTCCTCTGGATGGAGGAGCTGCCTGGTTTATCACTCAACCAGCAAATCAAATTTAGTTTGGGTTAATTCACGTGTAACTGTAGTCCAAAAGCTTCAAGGCATCAGAAGGAGCCAACAGCAGAACTTAGTGAACTTCAAGTGCACAAAACCCCACAGGTCCTTACATAATCTAATGTCCCACAACAAAGACATAACACTGAAAGCCAGTGTTTTATGTATGAGCTGAGTGTGACACAATGTTTCTGCTTTGGGACAGACACACTGACAGACATGACAGTGTTGCAAATATTTTATTTATTTGTTCCAGATATTTAACACAAAGCACAAGAAATTCATAACATAAAATCATAACTCATGATCTTAGAAACGTGAGAGCTCCACTTGCTCCATTTCTGAATCAAACAGCAAACAAAACAAAACAAACAAACAAAAAAATCACTCACATGAAGCATGGCGATTATAATGTTTTGACATACATTATGAATACAATCCCTTATTTTTGTGAAATATGAAATTAAATTTCCCATCCTAGACTGATTGAAATTAACGTAACAATAATATCCGTGATTAGAAAATAAAGGTGTAAAGAAGTAGACATATCTAATAAGTAGGCAACAAGTATCTTTCACTTCAATATTCAATATTACGTAAACTCTTAACTTCCTACATCGGCTCTGTGATTGTGTGTGGAAGAGTATTTCTCATTAACTGCTGCGGTAACTTGTATTCTCCGGTGTAACGTGGCTCATCATTCCCTCTGTAACCATGTAGAGCCGTCCAGTGCTGAGGACAAGTTAGAAGTTCTCATAGTGATGCATGAAATGAGCCTGATCCCTCTTGTTCATCTGCTGGCAAGCTTTCTCCACGTTCTTGGTCAGTCCAGGTGGTCCACAGCTGAATACGCCGATCTTATCCACCTTCAGATAGTATTACAAATTTAAAACTTTTAGAATTCCTTTACAACATTTTCTTCATTTTGTTCAGGTATGTGTACTGTTAGATGGTAGATGAAGGTAAATGAAAGGGCTGACCTCGGGGTGAACTTCCTGCAGGGAGCTGAAAAAGGACACGAAGGGCGGACGGCCGAAGTGGGTGACGGATCGCAGGCCAGTGAAGAGACTGCGGTTCCACACCTTCTGAAAGTGGCGCTCACACACGTACTGTCCACACATTATAAAGACAACAGGGAGGAATTCATTAGTGGTTTCCAGTATTATATAATGTTAAAGGAACAATTCAACATTTTCTGAAGCATTTTGGGAAATATCTTGCCGAGACTTTGCCGAGGGCTGAGACTTTTTGTACGGATTAAACAAACAAGATATAACATGGTAATCAATCTTTAGAGGTGCTGGCAGGCAGATTTTGTTACGTTCACACAGACCCAGGTTAGCTGTTTCCCCGTTTCCAGTCTTTATGCTAAGCTAAAGTAACTGGCTACAGCTTCATACTGAACGAGCATCTCTTAGCAAGAAAACCTCTGACCATATTTTCCCAAATGTCAAACTATTCCATTAGTATTAATAACAATAATAAAATGAATGTTTGTTAAATATTCAGCAGCATGTCAGTCCACTTTTTGTGAGACTTTGAAATGGCGACTGCTGATCTCACCAGCATGGTGGTGCGGAGGTCGAACTTCTCGGCCACCTGAGTGATGTACGTGTGGATAGAGACCAGCTCCAGGGTGTCCATCTCCTCCACCTCCCTGATGATGTCTGACACCCACTCAAACTGACGCTGTGTTCGAGTCACCCAGATGAAGTAGACCTTCAAACAATCAGTGACTGTTAGAAAACGTTTGTTTATAGAGTGAGCTTCTCATGCAAATAAATAATTCTTCTGGGAGGAATTCCAGATTAAATAGATGTTTGAGTTTAAACTGTACCTTTTTACACTGAATCTTGGACTTCACGGAGGACTTGAACACCAGGTCTTTGAGGATGGAAGCGAATGGGGTGACTCCAATTCCTCCCCCCACCAGAACAGACACCTCAAAATCAATCCACTCCTGATGGCCCTCACCAAATGGACCATCCAAGTAAAGCTTGGGGATAAATGAAATATGAATATAAATGCCATAAAAAGACAGAAAGGGGAAATATATGAAACTGTTCACACACAAAATAACACGATGACCTGCCTTTGGATAAGCTCCAAGCTCGAGCAGGCTTTCGTCAGTGTAGAGCTCTCGGAGCTGGCTGGTCCAGGGCCCCACAGCTCGGATGTGCAGACTCAGGGTCTCTTCGTGAGGGGCTGACGTGAGCGTGAAGGGGTGGTACTCATCTGCTCCCAACATCAGGCACGCTATGCGAACCCACTGGCCTGAACGGTACATGAAGCCCTGTGGTCGCTTGAACTCCAGATGTGTCACACCTACAGGTAGGACAGCCGAGGGAAGTATGAACTCCAATGCACAATGCACAATGCACACACACATTACGTGAGTTCAGTGAAGATGCTGCAATTTCATTAGCAAAGACTAAAGCCAAGGAAAGACTGAGAACAGTGAGATATTTCAAAGACTGTGATTTTCCAGAAGATGCTGAAGTGTAACCTGAAGGCAGCAGCTCAGCTCTGACCACTGGGATCTCCACCTTTTTCCTGCTCAAGCTGATTAGTTTGTCCAGCAGGAAAAGGAGCGCAGGAGGGATCAGATAGATGTAGAAACGGGGCGCCTGGAGGAGGGCAAAGCTGCCATGAATAATAATCTGTTGGATGAGAACAGAGCCAGCATCACACCACTAATAAAACTGCCTTTTCATAATGAAAGCCAGCTGACTGCAGAGTGAAGCTGGAGTATTTTCAAGTTAGAAAACTACTTACTAGAATGTACACAACAACATAGAGGTAATGTGTGATCCAAAATCCACGAAAACTGATGCGACGGAAATAGTGTGAGGCAAAAACGTACATAAATGAAAAAGTAAAAAGAAGCAAGATGCCAGTCATTCCTAGGAAAAGGACAAAGCAGAGCATAAACACAGGATTATAGAGTAGTAGTACAAACATCCCATGTACTGTATAACTGCTGAAGGTGTAACATGAGTCTCCTATAATACCTGGAATAGTTTGAAAGAACCACCATGACCACTTGAGAGGAAGTTCAGACCTAAAACAAAAACCGACTGTTATTTAGCTCAATGCCACATATCATAGCTCTGCTGCAAAGTGTACAGATATTTCAGCCATACCCATTGTTGGATAAGACTTTGGGGAACAGACAAGACAGGATGCTGAGGTCACTGATGGAGAAGATGTAGATGTTGACCACATGACCCAAACTATGAACAACTATGGCGAGAACAGAAATAGGAGTGAGCGCGTTTAAAATATAATGTACAGGTGAAGACATCAAAACTTAACTTCCCATCATTACTCTCAACTATAATTTCTGTAATACTCTCTCCTTCTCTCCGCCAACCTGAGAGGATGATGGCAGTCATGGCCATAAAGCGATGGAAGTCAATGGCGGCATCAAAGGGGATGTATCGGTTGAGGAAGGTCTCTCTGCACAGTGTGATGAGGTTACGACACACGGTGAGGAGCATGTAGGGAAACAGAAAGGAGATGGCGGCTGCTGAGCCACGGGAGACGATGACGCCAACCATCGAGGTCTCAGGGAGACCTGAAGATAGAGCCTGCAAACCGTAGTCTGAACACAGAATTTTTAATCAGGTCAGACCAAGAAGTATGATACAATGGGGCAATGAACGACAATAATACGTCAAAAAGACATAGTGAGGATGTAGAGCACTCACAGTAACATCTTTCGAGCGTCACTCCAGCCGAGATGCCGAATATGATCATGAAGCAGACGATATGACGGCGATAATTCTCAATGAAACGTTTGAAATGCTGGATCTTCTGCCGGACCGGGTTCCTTATGTACTGCTCACGCCTCGGCTTTACATACACATACGGAGTGTTGGTGCTTGACCTGAAAAAATTCATATCCATTCAACTTTAATCAGTCAATATTCTGTGTTCTGTCCATCTATCGTTTAGCTGTGAAGTATTTGATCGTATTCAGGTCACCAAAACCGTAGAGTAAGCAAGGTATATTGACACAAAAGCACCTTAAAATAGGTCAATGTTTAAACTGTGAGATAGTAAATATATGGCAAGAGTACTAATGTGTCAATACGCCATGTACAAAACACACACTGCTGCGATATTAAGATAATAAAGATGATAAGAGTCATAAGTATTTGTTTATTTTAAGTTGTCCAACATCTTATATTTCTCAATATGCTTCATTCTTCACTCAGATACTCAGACCACTCAGATCAGGAGCAGTAAAATAAAACCAGGAGCATACTTTTTCCGTTTACGTATCTCCTGTCCATCTGTCTTGTTGTTGCTGCAAACAAAAAGTGAACAAAAATCGCACTGTGAGCCTGGAAACAATCATCACAAGAATGAAAAGTTACAGTGTGTCATTGTTTTGTCCATAGTGATAAGCAACAATTGTTGCATTAGTGATCTGGATGACAAATGACTGTGTGTCCTGCTCTCTTACCTGTTTGCTGGACAGATGAAGGACACTCTATGGTCTCGACTAAGCCGCTTCTTCCCCTGTTTCTCCATCCCTGCACACATAGCAGATGCACTGATTCATCACACAAGGTCAGAGAGAGTATAAAAAAAAATCTTAGATCTTAGACAAAACTTTGTGCAACCTTTGACATTTAGTTGAGCAAACTGAAGCTCCTTCTCATGGTCCTGCAGGAGGAAATGGAAGTCCTGCCATGAGATTTTCTCCTTGTCATCAAACCCTGCAGCCTTCATCATGGCCTTGATGCCATCCTCTGCCTGGCTCTTTGACAGGCCACCATTGGAGATTTCAATGAAAGAACTGCAGCACATTGAAAGGGTGAAAACATCCCATCAAACAAACAAACAAACAAAAGAAAATCAGGAGGTTCGGGCACAAAAAAAAAAACCACAGGCGATCGAACCTGAGCATCCTGGCAAATTCTTCTTTTGACAAGAAGCCAGTTCCACTAATGTCGTTCATGGAAAACATCAGTTTGGATTTTTCCTCAGGAGACCCTGGATAAATAAATAAATAAATAAATAAACACATATCATCAATAGCTTATACTGTTTACTGCTCTGCCACTACTAAACATCAGACATCTCATCTGCCATTCATGTAGTCCACTTCTCATTACAAGCTGCCTGATTTCATTAATTGTTAGTTTATGTATTTTGTAAATTAGTTTTTATATGTAGCTGAATAGTTACAGTAGATTGTCTCTAGAGAGCTGCTAACCCACCAAAATGAAACCGATTATTATTAGATTCAGTAGGAGGTTTCACATGATTGTCTTAATTCTTTTTCAGAGGCTTTTCCACTCTCGTATAAATTAACAAAACCCTGAATTGGAAGGATTTTTAATCTAAAAATGGAGAGAAATTTAAGATGGAAAATATCTGCACAAATTCTCAGCCAGAAAAAGTATTCATTACTAATATAATAGCACCAGTTTTGATCTTTTAAATTAACTTAAAAATAATCAAACCTCAAAGTAATTCACTCCATCTCTCGTTTGGCATTTGTAGATTTTCATGTTACATATGCATTATGTGGCGCCTATGTGACACCTGGAGACCCAAAGAATTAGAATAATCAAGGTTTTTTTTTTTACCTTTCATAAAGATAACCATCACATCAAGAAACTCTTGGAAGGAGAGGTAACCGTTTCCATCTTTATCAGCTAGTGTGAACATGGAGTCCACAAATAAAGAGTCAGGCTTGACGCCCAGAGCATCAGCAAACTCTGATGCTGTCAGCTCGCACTGGAGAACCTCTCTGGCTTTCTCATGGGAAATGCTACTCATGTCACCAGCATCACACTTCTCTATTTCCAAGACCTGTGCAGCAGAGGGACAGTGTCATTGTCACCATAGTGTCATTAGTAATATCACTGACGACAGCTGAGGTTATCGTCACAGATGATGTCACCAAGACCATCAATTAGCTCTTTTGACTTGAGGTTGGACCTAAATTGACCTCAAACAAGGTTTGACGACATTTTGTGGCTGAGCTTAAAGCTGCTGCTGCTGTAACAGAGCAGAGGATGAGGTAAACATCCAGAGGTTGACGGTACCTTAGAGAAAGCGTGTCGAATGAAAGTTTCCACAATCTGAGCCCTCTGCTCTTTGGTTAAAGTCTCCTTCAGCAGTTCCTTCTCCCTCATCTCCTTCACTCTAATCTCCTGCCCGATATCTGTCACCGCTGGGCGCAGATGCTTCAAGAATGCTGTACGTTTGCTCTCGTCATCAAAAAACAGCACCTGGACGTGCGAACAGATGACATCAGTGTAAGTGAGAAAGTGAAAGCGCTTGATTTGAATAAGCTTCAAACAATCTCAGTTGTGAACACAGTATTTGGCTGCACATGCTTGCACCACCACCAACAACACTCTTTGGAACTGTTTTTTCTTCAATCTCAAATCACACTTCAGCTGCATTTTCAGATCAAACTCTGAAGTTGTAAACCATCCCCTCCCATTTCCAGCTACGCACCAGGTCATACTCTTTGGGTACTTTGAGCAGCAGCGCTTTCCGGTGACAGTCGTTGGAGAGACGGACATCAACGTAGTCCTGGTCGCCCAGAAAGAGGTAGCGCAGAGAAGACCCAGATCTGTCAAAGACCTGCAGCCCCCTTTTCTCATCGACCTCCACGCTGACTGGATGCAGAGGTTTTTTATGGCCCTGCCACTCGTAGGCTGGAGAGCAAAGGCAGAATGAAAATAGGTGGTGGACCCAAAAATAACAGTAGATACTGGCAGTAGAGACAATAGCAAAGGCATTTCACTTTCACTGTCACCCATGTCACTGATATGTATGTTAGTTTGTTGTTGTTCAGCTTGTCAAGTGTTTTTAATGAATCTAATGTCAACTATTATTTGAGTCTTGTCTAGTCTTGTCTGATGATAATTAACAATGAGTTAGTTGTAAAATCAGACTGATAGATATTATGTTTTTATTAAAACTGGACACTACAAATAAAGTATTAGCAGGATTCTTCAGTCCCACAGTGATTCATACCAGTGATTCCCACAGCTGGCTCCTCTGCTTTGGGACCAGCTTTCCTTCTTCTCTGGAACTTTCTGTACCTGTACTTGCGGAGATATGCCACCATAACGGCCACTAGAAAACTCACTGTGAAGGCAAAATAAAAGCTGATCAAACTGTGATTTCTGTGGTATGAGTATTATTACAGTGCCAAAGGAATTTTGTGAGCATGATACTGACCAACAGGAAAGAGGAACAGAACAATGATAAATATCCCAAAGCCAGCTTTACTCCCATCAAAGTAATTAAGTTTGGTAGCATTAGTGCAGGGGTATAGCATTGATGCGTTCAGCTGTGTGGGCTGAGGACAGGGGTCACCTAAGGTAACAGAGAGATTGTTTTTTAGTTATTTTTTTAGATTCAAGAGTGATCTATTTGTATGATACACACGTTGTATATTGTACCATCTTTCCAGAAGAAGACATTATTCTGTATATCTGTGGCCTCTGCACTGGTGACTGCAACAAGGACGTCAAAAAACGTCATGTTGCGGATGGCCTGGATCTCCTCATCTGTGAACAAACTGGAAAAAGACCAAAGTGAGTAAAAGCCTGCGGTGAACTGACATGTGGTATAAATGGATGGAACTGCCACATACAATACAATGAGATCAATCAAAGACTACAGTAGGATTAAAACTATAATACAGTTATTTCTACTGTATATTAGAAGCCATTTTAATCGATCACAGAGATGGCTCAAGCTCAGCTGCCAAAAATTCTTAAAGTTAGGAGGATCTGCTTTTTGTTACTGTGCCCCACATACTTGGAATATACTTTAAAAAACTTTAAGTTGACCTCATTAATACCCCAGAGGCAATTCCAAGGTAATTAATTGTTAATTTTATTGATTGCAACTGTCATTGCTTTTAATTTTTTAATTGTCCTTATTCTTATTGTTCTTGTTTATTCATTTTTTCCTATCTCTTATTTCTTTTGCTTTTAAACATTGTTACTTTACCTTGTTTTAATTATTATAGCCATGTATTCTTTTTTTTTTGTCATTCATTGTATATCTGTACCTTGGCACCATTGAAAATCAGGGTTCTCCCTCGAAGCATCTCCCGAGGTTTTAAATGAATAATATTAATTCCCAAATTACTCAGAGGGGAGCTTACCCATTCTGTTTGTTCTCGAACCAGAAGCGGTCTCCATTTCTGATGCGTTCAAACTGGTCCAAGATTATGGCGGAGAAAACTGGACCTGGACCGTCGAGAGACTCCAGCAGTCCTCCAGGGAAGAGCTCCAGTTTTGAGATGTCTCTGTTATACAGTTCTGCAACATTGTGGAGCAACTGTACACAAGATAGTTTAATTCACAGAGTTATTGTTCAACTTTTCTATGCAGTTCATGTTTGATCAGTCTTTGTTAAAGAAACTGTCTGCTTGAGAGACTGCAGTTTTTACCTGTGGGTTGGTGCTGTTGAGCGCAGGATTTATGTCCTCAAATGTTTTTACAGAAGGCAGATCCAGAGCTTTTCTGACCTCAGCGTAACTTCGCAGGCCAAAGTCTCTTCCTCTCTGGATGGTTAAGGCCACCAGATCAGTCCGGGTGAACCTTAGGGGTCCGTACATGTAGTCTATCAAGGTATAAATCACATCAGAACAGTGAATATACCAATTATAACTTGAATCATAACTTGAATAAGTATCAGAGATTGATATGTAGAGAACTGAAAAAGACAGATCAAAACCTCTCAGGTCCTCCACAACAATGTTGTCTTCTCTCTCTGCAATCTGAGAAGCCATGCCCATGAGGAGGTCGTCTACATCCTGGCTTGTCTTCACATTGGGTCTCTGGAAATAAAAAGCCACAGTATTAATATATAATATACAAATATCTCCTCTCTCTAACAGGTATCAAAAAAGTACAAGCTGACGACACCAGTTCTTTGAAGAAAACCACCATCAGCAGTATTTCCTCATCCTATCCTTAAAGAATCTTTAAGAGATCCACAAGATTCAAAAGAAACACCCTTGATAACATTATGCATGCACTAACTATAACATGAATTTATCAAAGAGAAATGTATTATTCATGTTAAGACTGACTGTATATATATTTGTTATTTTTTTTCTCTACAGAAATAAAAGTAAAATGATTGTAATTAAATAATTAAATCAAATTCATCCTTGCACCGTTATGAAAAATGCAGTATGAGTAAAGTTTGTAAGTTAAGTATGAGCGTTATGTACCTGACGCTTCCAAAAGCTGTTACAAAGACGCATTGCTGGTGATAAGCTGCCATCTATGTTGATAATCTCCCGAAATTGGCAGGTTCTGTTTCTGTAAGGAGAGTTAATGCAATAGACTATATTTTTACTGCATGATTGTGTTTGACACTGTCCACAGCAGCACACTGACAATAGTGAGCTTTGATTTTTCACAATGTGCCATGAGGAGAAAAAGAATCACTACCTCATGTAAACACCAGGTGGGGCCATAGTGATACCAAATCGTATGGCAGCAGCCTGAAACTCTGGAGAGATCCCAGGATCAACAAACTTCTGGTAACCTGTGTACAAATAAAACAGTTCTAATGCAAAACAACAGAATGAGGGTGACAAGAGAAGTAACATGGTGATCTACAAGCTGAGTTATAAAGAATCCCGGTGCATGCAAACCTCCTCCAGTACATCATCATCCAAAGTGAGACAACAAAAGCAGCAGAGATTCAAAGATGAAGAGTGATTAAGGTGATGGGGTCATCTGACCATTGTCCCTTTAACTTTCTTCAGCTGCGGGTGCTTATTCAGCAGAAGAGGGAGACTCGGGTGATGCTTTGCTGACAGAGCACATACTTGTCAAACACCGCCAGCGATAGCTCACCTCACCACGGCTTGTGGTCACTGGTGCATTACCCGCTCCCCTCCACTTGTACGCACATGCACTCTGGCTGATACTTACCTGGGTAAGGAGGAAGCTTTTTGTCTCCCAGATATCCAGGCAGCCATTCGTAGAGAGCAATGTTCTGTTTGGAGGAAGAGCAGGGATAAAAGTTATCACAGCCTTTTTGAATCCACACAACTTAAACTATTTCAGAGAGGGAAGAAATGAACATGACAGAATACGCTTTGATGATTCTATATTATATATATCTTTATTGTTTTTAGATAGTTTCTTGATATATAAATTGTAATTTTATGAGTGTAGCTTTCTATTTTGGATTTGATGTGACTTAAATAGTTTGTTAACTGTTGTCAACTAAGTGTGGGTAATGTTGTTCAGGGCTGTTCTTGCAGAGGAGAGACTCTACAGACTCTACAAGTCGGAGATGATGCATTCACCCTAAACTAAAACCATCAATTTCATCCATAAAATCACGACCACCTGGCGTTGATGCAACCTCGTTCCTTCCAGAGTGCAAATTAAATCAGCACCTGTGCAGCGAGAGGATTACATGGAGACTTTTCCTTCTACCTGGAATGTGGCCACAACCGTCTTCCTGGCGTTTTGAAACAGCTTTTCGTCTGACCAATCTCGGTGTTCCTCATGCAGTTTGGAGGCTACATAATTGTGGTAGCGAAACCAGATAATCCCCTCTGCTGCCGTGAACATGTTCTCATTGGCCCAGGCATTTCCCAACTCTAGACAAAGAAGATGGTAAAAAACGATGAGAATTCTTTGATTACATCATGTGAAATAACATCACTATGGTCATGACACAATAAACAGAGACTAGGCTGTATATATAATGTTTTCTTGTACAGGAAACTCCCAAAATTCACAGATTTTCTGCACCTTATCGGTATAGCGCTGCACTCCCATTGCATTGATTGATGAAGATCTCTGACCACTAATGGAACGATAATTTGGCTGTTTGTTTTTCTACAGAGCTGTCACAACAGGAGAAGATCCACCGCCTCCACCCCAGATAATAAGTACACACCTTCAACAACACAAGCAACAAAACACTGGTTTCATGACACCTGTACGGCATCTTCTTTGCTATAGAGAGAGGGATTTACTGTGGTGAGTGTGAGAAGCCATTTACACAATAATTAAAGAGTCATAACACACGTCAGGCTGGGCCTCTCTTGACTCAGTCTCACAGGCTGCAACCCTGATCAAAGCAGACTCTGTGAAATAATATTTGTAAGAAATTCTTGCTGTTTGTTTTCAGCAGCTTGCAGTATCGATTGGGTGGGTAATGCCACATACAGTACGAAAACAGAGAACAGATAACGGGGGGTTTAAACGTATAGTTCAGACAAACAAACACATGAGTGTGATTTGATAAGATTTGGAGATCTATCATGTACAATCTCAACTAGTTTGTGATGTTTAAAATGCTGAAAAGTTACTAAATGATAATAATAATGACTTCCTTTCATTGAAAATTACTATTTTAAATGCTCACAGACAGAACTGTAGATTATTATGAACAACTCTACTTGGAGAGAGACATTGTTGTCGTTGAGTTTTGGGGCTTGGCACTCAAGCTTATGAGTAAATTATGTTTGATGGTGCTTTTGAGTTAATTATTCCTTTAATCAATGACATACCGGAGGAGTCAGTTTAGTGGATTTTTCTGCAACAACCAGCTCCCCTGACATGTCAGGTACTCAGTAAAATGAATTCTTTGCTAACAGTGTTTGGTGCAGGTCAGAAGTTTAAAATGTAACATGTTTCACCATAGAGGCCTTGGGGTCCATGTTCTCCTGTAGAGGGGTCCGCAGCGCTCCACATGAGATTGCGTCCTCCTCCCTGTTTTGGCATGTTCCACTCAGAGCCTGTAGTCAAGAGCCCTCGTGAGAAGCTTCTCAGGGAGTCAGACCAGGACGTGGAGGGGCCATAGATGGAGCTGCCATCTATCCACGCTGTCACCAAGTTGACCTGCATGTGTTGTATTTGTGTTTCTCAAATTATTACACTTCAACACAATGTAACGTGTCCTCGACAACTGCCTGAACTGTTACAGTTCTTAACTTACTAGTGTTCACATATCCTGAATGTTTCTGGAGGCTGGAGTTTGGTGATAGCATTAACAAATAAGTTATTTCATATTGATAAGAGTCAACAATCAGCACCTGTGTGCGAGGGTTACTGGGACTCTGTCCAGACTCCTTTTCCCATGGTCCTCTCTGGAAGGGCAGCAGGACTTTTCCGGTGGCAGTCGGGTCAAATACTGGGTCGCCTTGTGGGACTGGGATGTTCATGAACTCAGGTGGACACCCAGGAGTTCTTGAGTCAAAAATTTCAAAAGTAACATGATAACCTGAAAAGTTCAGGAAAGGTTAATTACTTCAAAAAGTCATTACCAGCTACACTATTAAATGAATATATCATCATTGATTGTTATAAAACAGGGAATCAGACGGGAGTGCAACACTGGAGAACATTCAGTCATAGACATACCAAGAAAACTTAGGAGAATACATCTTGCCATATTACTGATATCTGCCAATATCTGCCAATAAAGCCAAGGCCTACACAAAATCAATTTTATCTTTAATCAGTGATATTTTTCTGATTTTGTCATTTGCAATTTCGTAATTCTATTTTAAGTTTGCCACGCAATACAACTCTTCCATACACACCAGAAAGGGTATTCTTGTATTATTCACCATTTAATTGCTTTAAAGGTTACACCTGTGTTGCACCTGCATTTCGGTAATAAGGGTCTGATAATATCAGTTGGTAGTTTATTAAAACTCCTGCTGGAACAGTGCTTTTGGCTTATATCCCAATTTCACACACTTAGGCTAATCCTTTTACAAGCTAGTTCAGGCCAGTTCAACAAAATGCAACATATTTACCAAAGAAGAGAGAGAGCACGGTCTGGTTGCGCGTTGAGGGCAGACCTGAGGGCCCCCGGGCCAGCAGCCTACTTAGCCTGCGGGGGTTTGGCAGCAGCGGCTCATGGACAGGCTGGTAGACTCCGTCCCAGTAATGCGCGGGCACGAGACGGACAAGGTGAGAGCCTGCGCGAGCGCGCGCGCACACACACACACACACACACACACACACACACACACACACACTCACACAACACACCAAAGAAGAGAGAGAGCACGGTCTGGTTGCGCGTTGAGGGCAGACCTGAGGGCCCCCGGGCCAGCAGCCTACTTAGCCTGCGGGGGTTTGGCAGCAGCGGCTCATGGACAGGCTGGTAGACTCCGTCCCAGTAATGCGCGGGCACGAGACGGACAAGGTGAGAACACACACACACACACACACACACACACACACACACACACACACACACACACACACACACACACACACAGAGTGCAGTGAGCTAGTGTGCTGTTGGCAGGGTGAACTGCTCCTGCTGCACGTTTTGCTCACTCTGTGACTTACCGACAGCCCCGCGTCTGGGATATCCCAGACTGTTGTACCAGCCGTCAAAGCGAGGAACCTCCCAGGTTATTTCACCGCGAGAATCTGTTCAACACATGTCAGGTTTAAACAGTTAAACAGGTTTCTTCTTACCTTGATTTTCCTGCGTTAACTGAGTTGAGTGAGGTGAACATGAAGTACACCAGTCGTCTACTCACGTTCACTGACAATGAGCACCATGGCAACCATGGCGCAGATACTCCAAAGCTTTTTACGCAAATCCATTGATGCGGGAGATGCTCCTCAGCTCAGTCCCCAGCCAAGAGGAGCGAAGGGCTTCTGAGAGCTGAAGAAAAGGTGAAGGTAAGAAACATTTACTGTTATATATCGGTCAGATTTCCGTGTAATGTAAAGTAGCCTATTTATGGCCAAAAGCTGGTTTGGCAGAAATTAAAAACAAAAGCCAGCAAGTCTGATTCAAAAGCTCATTAAATGAACAGCACAAACTTCACAAAACTTTGGTACTGTTCCTTTTTGTCTATAAACTCTAGATATGCTCTCTCTCCTCTTTGGTAATCTTGTGTTTTGTTGAATTGGCTTGCACTAGCCCATAAAAGAATCAGATGAAATAGCTGAGTCTTACCTTAGAGGCTGGAAAGTAGTAGGAGCACAGGTGCAGGTGAAGAATGGTGCAATACTAAAGACAACATGTGTTGCAGAGCTTATCACAAACTTCATGTGACCTGTGTCGCCCAGATGGGAATGGTCATCATCTCTGGGTCACACCTCTATTCCACAGCATTCCAGTTAATGCATCCTCCCCCCTCAGTGACACAAAGGGGACCAGTGGTATAAAAGAAGTGTATGTTCCCTCAACATTCACACTTGACTCCCAGTCCTCATCTTTCAACTTTCAGGTAAGAGACCTCCTTTGGGTTTCACCTTTTCTCTATTCCATTGATTGGCTTTATTAGACTCTTTGAAACGCTCCTATTCATGTAGGTTCAAAAGCATGCATTAGAATCAGGATGGAGCCATGTTAAAAGTACCTATTTATATTACACTGACAGGTCAAATGGATGTATAGAATTGTATTTCTTTGTGCATCATACTGATGCATTTCTTTCTTTGCAATAAAGATACACAGTGCCAAGGAAGGTTCAATACTATTGCATCAGTTAGACATACTTGCACTTAATCATGTGCAATGTTACATAGTGGTAATAATGTCCCATTTCTTATCTACTGTAAGAAACAAGAGCTGCTATCTCTGCATCTGGAGGAAATTGAGAACCCGGCCACTAACACTGTCTTCTCTGTTACACTGTCTAGTCTCAGCTGCGTCCCTAAGATCAGGAGCTAAGATGACTTTCTACGATGACATTTACCCATTCTACCCTCTACAAAGGACCTCCTTCATCTTCAGTGGCAGCTTGCTCACCATTATTCTGGTCTTCCTTGTGCTAGCAGTCAGTCTCCTTGTCATTCTGCCAGGGATACGAGGGAAGTCGGTGAGTGCAACCTATCAGATAAACTATTACTCACTGCAAACACAAAACCTCAGAATTGCTATCTCCCTTTGTGCTTCTCAGGATGGTTTGTAAGAGTGAAAAATACGTATATATGTATTTCAATGCTTTAATTTACTTGTTCTCACCTTTTTTATGCTAAGCATCAAAAATAATCTTTATTCTGTTACTTCCCTTTCAATCAGAGGCTGTTCTGGATGTTTAGGATAATTATCAGCTTGTTCATAGGTGCGGTTATAGTGGGTGAGTTCTGTGTTCTTATCATCGTTGTTGAATAAATCACAGATATTTCTGTTTACTGGTATCACGATAAACATTTTTGTTCTTTTCCTGCAGCGCTCAACTTCACTAACGACTGGGCTGAGGCCAGAATGACCACTAATGCCACCTACAAGTCTTTCAGTAACGCAGTGGTTAACGCAGAGGTCGGCCTGCATGTTGGACTGTACGGCATTAACGTTACACTGAAGGGTGAGTCACTCTGTGTAGATGTAATGTACAGTACATTCATATGCTGATACCCTACATGTTTTATTAAGATACTCTGCTCAGTTTGTGTAACAAGTCATTTTACCTGTCTTGTATATGAACTTTAGGTCATATTGCATGTACATGAGTTTGCATTTCTTCTCTCTCTCTCAGGCAATCCTGTTGTACAGTTCAATGAGACCATTGACTACAATGAGATGTTCAGCTGGCATGACACTATTGAAGAGGAGTACGAGGAAGCTCTGGAGAAAGGTTTACCCAATCCCATCCTGTATATTGCTGAGAAATTCACTCTGAGCAGCCCATGTGGACTCATCTTTAAGTACAGCTTCTCTGGAAGATACGCCTCTGCAACTCTTTGGTAAGTACATATGACTCACAGTATGAAGTTGTAATACGATACTGTTGATTTCAGCAGATAATCATTAAAAAAATATAGCGGAAATTAAAATGGCAGCACACTTTCACAGGACTGCATTTTGCTGCTGGATGCTTGCCAACATCCTGTTCTCCATGCCGGTCATTCTGTACGCTGGGTACATGATGGTGGCCACTGCTGCCTTCATCTTCTTCTCCATGGCCTCCTTCTCCACCATCATGAATGTGCCGCAGTGTGTTTTCTCCATAGGGACTGACTCCTTTGAAACAGAATACAGCCATTCATTCTGGCTGGCTCTGGCTACAGGTAACGATAATAAACTGCACATTGATTTCAGATGTTTTGTACTTCTGACTGACATACAAAGCCTCCTGGGGGTAGTGATCTCTACTAACTGAGATGATTTCCAGGTGTTCTGTGCACCATCATTGGGGTTCTGGTGGTGCTGTTTAACTTTCTGATACCAGAGAAGATGAAAGAAGCTTTCAGCAGTGGTGTCGACAATTACGAAGATGAGGACGTTTCTTATGGAGAGGGCTACCTGAATTCAGCTTTCCTTGATGGAGTGACAATTTCACCACTGACATCGAAAGTCACCACAGTAAGTTCTTTGAATTAAGATACTGTAATACTGCGCTTCCTCTTGACTCGTAACAAAGATCCTATCAACATTTGGCCGCTTGTAAATGGATTTAAGAATCACTACCATTTTGGCTAAACTTTTACATCTACAAATAATTTAAAAGAATTATGCTGCTCATTGACTATGATCATTTTTATTTCTGTTTCAGGAACATATATGAATCTATCCAGGGTTCCCTCGGGAGCTTTTCCAGCCAATACTTGAAGATATTTTTGCTGAATGTGTTACAGAAGGAGTGTCTGGTTTAATTATCTATTGTATGTGAGCCTGTGAGTGTTATGTGTTAAACAATTTAAGTGTAAATAGTTTATTGTCATGTTGCAGTAGTTGTAAATAGAATATATGAAGTTGTATGGGATCTATACAATATGTATATACACTGATTAATATGGATTATAGGTCTGTCACTGTTCAACTCGTTTGTTTGATTTCAATTATTTTTATGTTTGATAGCCTCTGTAGGATTTCTTGCAGTGCATGCACGTTGCCAATGGGCGATTTAATTTGTGAGCAGTGTCATTATTACATTACATTAACTTTTACAGTGTAATTATTAGTTCATTTCACAGCTTCTGAGGGTCCAAATAAATGTGAATATACAAAAGGAAACAGCCTGTGAAAGGTCAACTGAATCTTCTCTAAACCAAGCAAATGTTTTTTATTGTCTTATCTGTTTATGGGTAACACTTTTTTTGCAGTAACACCTTAATAAAATGAAAACAAACAAGTGTTCAGCAGTGAGTTTGTATTTTTAGTGTCTTTTAACATTACATTCATTCAGTAATGTATATTTTGATACATTCTTGTACGCTCTGGTAAAGGTAATGATCACCCATACTGTATGTCTTTGAAAAGTCGGTGTGTCTTTGGCCTTCAGCGTCACCATAATACACATAGTTTAGTGCCTTTGTACAGCATATTATTATCTTCTTTTAATACTTACTGTAATAGATTATCATGTCAGATTGAGAATTAATCCCTGGTCAGTAATTCTTCATAATAACATGCATATACTGTAGGAGTAATATGGCCTTTCCAATCAAGTCCTTGAGTAATCCAAAGTATTTACAGTAGAAGTACATTTTTTAAACTCCATACACATTATAAAAATGACTAAATAAAAAATAAATGTACTAATTTATCTCTTCATAAGAAAATAATCATGACCTTAAAGCTACTTCTCTTCAACACCAGAAACTCACATACAGTACTACAGACAGAGCATTCACATTGTAAGGCCATTATGACAATGTAATTCGAGATAAAACCTGAAAATGAGAACTGGATGTTCTTTACAGCATTGCAACAAGAGGCCGAAAAAATAAAATGATAGAAAAATAAATTCTCCTCGTCCCACTGAGCCACCTGTCTTATCATCTGTCCGTCGTCTTCACACCGCCAGACATGCAGCGCTACAGTGGGCTGATCCATGCAGGGTCTCTATATGTAGATAGGCGTCTCCTGTCCCGTCAGCAGTCTGAACATCACAGCGGGCATTGTCTTCATGTTGATCTGGCAGAGAGGCAGAGGTGAGAGGAGCAGGGACAATTACACTCTCAACTTAAGAGCCCATTTATAGAAGCACCATCGTAATTCACATCGCTTGAATCCAGACCTAATTTACTCCCTTCTGAGCCACCAGAGAAGTCAGAAGAGAACTTGGATCCACTACAGACAAATAATGGGCTTTTATGGCTTTTACTGACATACAGTGCATACTGGGAGAAATCTAGGGAAATTCACACACAAAAACAAATTCCCAGTATGTTAATAGCTGGTGAAAAGTGTGAGTAGTGGAGCAGATCAAGAATGTTTGGTAGAGATCTCCTTATCTAACTCAAGAAAGAAGATAACAAATAAGTGCAATTTCCAAAATGACATACTTCTCCTTTTGTGTAGATGAAGATATGCACTTTAATTAATGGATTTGAGCTGAAGTAAATAAATTAGTTTCCTGACGTTGACAGTTTGCTAGAAACAGAATTACAAATTGTGGCCAACTAAGACTTCACAAACAATTAACTTTCATCGGTTGCACTACTCAGAAGTCAGCTTTTTCCACAAAGATTTAAATATCTAACTGTGCCATTTTCACCAAGGACTTTTATTGATTTCATTTATTGATTAAATGCAGGTGTGGAACTGTATGTATGCAATAATCTGGGATCTGAACCATTCTCAAACTAATCTAATTTGTAGCTATATCTTTAAAAGGCCTGTATGGCTCAGTGATTTGTGTGGTGCAGTAATCTTTGTAAATTGCCATCTTGTGGCATGAAGAGTTCTTACCTCACCCACTGAGACAGACAAGGTTTGAACAATCTTCTCATGTGCCATGGCAACAACACTCTGACCATTTATTTCAATGATTCTGTGTCCAACACGAACACCGCCTCGCTCTGCAATGCCACCTCTCATCAGACTGCAGATCTGAGGGTGTGAAAAAGACACTATGTAACTGCATACATTGTATAGCACAACCATCACTCTTAAAAAACAGTGGTGCTCTTCAGAAGTTGGCAACCATAAATTTCGAGCTTCAACCTAAAGGTTGGTGTAACATTTACTCACTGACAAGGGCTTACTCACAATGCCATTCTGAACACTGAAGCCGAGCTGGAACTTGAGATCAGGTCTCTTGATGAGGACAGTGGTGACAGGAGGGCAGCTTACAATACTCAGCTTTACCTTCACCTGATTCTTGAGACCCTGGAACATATCAAAACTAGAATTACCACCTTGCCTCCGCCAAACCAGCCATGTTGCAGGAAATATGATCACAATGTCCCCTTCCTGAGTTAGAGCATTGAATAATGGCCACATGTGTTTTTGCAGAACATTGTGATGTCACAGTGACCTTGGCCTTTGACTTTTCACAGCCAAAGTCTAATCAGTTCGTCTTTAAGTGAACGTTAGTGGCAAATCTGAAGAAATTCCCTCAAGTTGGTCTTGAGATATCAAGATACCGTCCTGCTAAAGACAAATCCACGACTGAAAAGAGTCTGCAATAACTGCACTATTTACACCATTTTTAGTAGTTCGCTGACAAGACTAAAATTATTTAGCCTTTATTTCAAAATAAAAGCACATATTTTTCATTATTTTTTAAAAAATGTACATCATATGTATGGAACAATGGGCTTGTAGCTGAAGGGCACAGTCAAGTGAAGTCAGTTAATTAAGTTAAGTTTGTTTTTGCATGATTATGTGGATGGAAAAACTCATCTAGGATGGTATGGTTTCATGATTAAATCAAACATTTGTTCATGTGTCTGTTTTGTCATCCATTTTATCATTTTGAGGGTCATCAGAGGCTGCAGTGTGGCAAAAAACCCTTACATAGATGAAAATAATATTTTTGTTATCTATGACGAGTAAGCCACCGTGCCATTCCCACGTATCATCAAGACTGGTTTAACACTTAATATCTACAAAGACTAACAAGAGCTCCCTGATATACTCTGTACCTTGATGATGCCCTGACAGGTGGCCAACGGCAGCCCCACCAGGCTAGTGTCATTAATGGACATAATCTGGTCTCCAACACTGAGTTTTCCAGAGCGAGCTGCAGGGCCGCTGTTCAGCATACTGGCAAGGATGACGGTGGGCAGAATAGATCCCCAACCGGACTCCACGATTACCACACCGAGGCTCTCCCCTTTCTGCTTCTCCACATACAGCTGGAAAGCAGGAAAAGCATTTCCTAATTCCTTTTCAAACACATTTTAAATTTCACATGCCCATATTTATGACATTTGTGAGCTTCTGGTAAAGCCATACTTATGTTAATGTAAATCCATCATCCACATTTCACCTGCTGCCAAATAAAAAAATGTCACACCTCTTTACAGTTGTCTGAGTTTGAGAAATGGACGAGGTCATCGTGGTACATTTCCTGGGAGTTGATGATGTCACTGTATTGTTTCTGGCTCAGGTCGGTCGGGTTGATGCCGTTGGCTCGCAGGAATTCTCTGTAGGCCACGCTAAAGGCCTGACCAATGGACTGTGCGATGAGCTGTGCCTATGGGAAGGGGAGCGTTTGGGGAAAACTACTCAGCAGAAAGGCTATCCCAGTTGACAACAGCAAGGAGGTGAGAAAGATCACATTGGTTTAAGTGACCACAGAATAAATATCTAAAAGTATAAACCCATAACTAAAAATCTATGCATAGTTAAGCAGCAAACACTCACATCCTCTGACTCAAAGACATAACAGATCATCCTGTACTGAGTCTTCCCTTCACTGGTAGAATCTGGAGACTCGGGAGAAAAATCTTCTGATGAAGCCTGAGACATGCGTCTCCGAGCCATCAGAACCACAATGCTGCCAATGTCGGCGATATAGGAGATGGTACGCAAGGCACTGTCCATCATTGTCTCCTGTGTGGAGCAAAAAGAAAAAACAACCATTGCTCATTATGTCTGAAAACAGATGAAACACACAAAGATCTAAGAGTTACTCACCTGCGTGTCAGCATTCAGCACTTTGACAGCTTTAGTGGAGATAAACAGGTCCACCTCTGTCATCATTTGAGAGTCTTCATCTTGGCTCTTTTAAATAAATGACATATTGCTTTAGTGAGACATTTCATTTTTCTGTAATTTAATCTCACATTTCAAACTTTCAGATGACTGTCACACACTGACATGGGGAGGTAAGCAAAAAAGAAATACAACAGCTCCACCGTGTGGTCAAAAAAGGAATCAACTGCACAGTCAACCTTTCATAAATAGTTCACGTGGCAATAGAGATACAGCTATACACTTGAAAACCCCGTTCATTGATTGAACCTCCGCCAGTGCTGAGCAAGTATCTTACAAATACACCAATTTCGATTTCTTAAACCTGAAAACACGCCTTTAGGATTTGGAATCAAGTCTGTATCCCTGTTCCTTTGATAGCTAAAGCTTTAAAGGCATTAAAAAAAGGCTTAAGAGGATCCCAGATCCAAAACACCACCGAAATCTAATCAATTTCCCCTGAACCCAAAACTAATCTGTTCCCCAAATTTATTTTAAGTCTGTTCCTACATTTTTGAGACAGGCTATTAGGAAGAAAGCAGATTTAAATACCTGTAAAAAAGAAAAGAAAAATCAATGGATGTTAACAACTGTCTCCCTAAAGAGGCAGATTACCTTGATATGACTGACAGCTTCATGGGCCTGGGACATGCGAACAGACTTGGATGGA